TTTTTTTTTTTTTTTTTTTTTAGCTAAACAAGGCACAAAGTATGCTCATCCGGGTGCTGCCATGTTGGTGCCGGCAGAGATACACCGACCGCTCCCTGGCCAGCACGGCGGCTCGGGGTAGGAACCTAGAGCGCAGAGCGGCTCCTTGGATTCCTTTTTCAGTGCAGCACACATTGACTCCTCTTCACCTCTTCTGTGCTGGGCCTGGCTAGGAGCTGGGTATTAGTCTTGAAAGTTATGATTTCTGTTTGCCCAGAACTCAGTCTAGCAGGGCAGAGACAGCAGGTATCAAGTCACTGCAACCCAGCATGATCACAGCTAAGGGTGGAAATGCAGAAGAGAAACCCGCCTCTCCCACTCCCTCTCCCTCTCCCTTTTGGGGCAGAGGAGGCGGCCAAGGGCCCTTAAGGGGAAAAACAGTAACAACAACGAAAAACCCAGAGCTGTACCTGCAGTACAACAGTGTGACCAGCAGGTGGCAGTGGCAACCCAAAGGGCATTCCCCCCAACTCTTCTTGGAATTTTCTTTCATGAATTAACGAAGATTAATTAATATGACAAACATTTACTGAGCACTTTCTACATGCCAGGCGCTGCTCTTGGCCCTGGGAATACAATGACAAGTAAGATAGACATGGAGGCATTCTGCGAGGGTGAGGTAGGAGGATTCTAAGTTCGGCTGCAGCCTGGAGAATTTAGCAACTTAGTGAGACTCTGTTTCAAAATAAAAAATAAAAAAGGGCTGGGGATGTAGCTCAGTGCAAAGGCCCTGTGTTCGACTCCCAGCATTACACACACACACACACACACACACACACACACACACACGAAGAAGACACGGTTTCTGCCTTCATGTAACTTAATTCATACTGTGTGGACGGCACAAATACGGCCCGCCCGGTGTCCGGCACAGTCCTGGAGGCAGAGAGAAGGAGCGACCAAGGATCACAGCTGGATGAGACCAGCATATGGACAGCCAGTCTGGCAAGAGGTGGCTCCCCAGTCTTCTCACCTGGGGTAAGGGATGGAATCTCGTTACCCAAGGCTCTGGCCCCACCCTTTATGTTATTTTTAATTTAATTAGGACCCCAGGGTACTCTTCTTAGAAGTTCTCATGCCATTCTAAAGTTCAGCCAGGGCTTAGAGCTAACGCTTTGGTATCTTGGCATGGTTAATACATTGATTCATCATTTAATTGATTCATTTCTGAATGTTTGAACATCCATCCTGCATTAGATGATTCACACAGATTACTTCTAATCCTCCCAAGCCTCAGACGTAGGAACAGTCATGACCGAGATAGCCAGCACTGGCTGAGAGCAGCTAGAGAGACAGACACTGTAAGGCGGGATATCCAGGAGCTCATTTTGTTATTGCCGTAACCTCCAGACATAGACATGCTCATCTTCCTCATGTGGGGTCGTCTCTCAAAGGCCACCGGCCAGTTGTTGGTGGAGAGGGGACCCACAGGTGGCCATGCAGCCATTGCACAGGCTCTGTGACTCGCTTATGAAGTCTTGCCAGAAGGAAGTGGCGGAGGTGTGATTTGAACCCAGGACTCTTCAGCTTTCAGGTCGGTCCAATTTGCTCTACCACTAAGCCACACCCTCAGCCCTGGGAGTGTGAATTTGACCTTGCTGTCTTCTCTACCAGAGGTAACAGGAACCTCTATGTTATTCTCCTGCTGGGAACGGAAGAGTTAACGCTTGTGATGTGCTTAGCGTGATGCCTGGCTTGCAGCAAGTGCTCAAAAAGTGTCACTTTGTCCAGTGGAATAGGACGGGACGTCCTTGCTGGCAGGAGTCTTCTGAAGTGACTGATACACACCTCACTGGGGACCCCGCCTGGTGTGCGGTCATCATGGTTTGTGGAGCCAGGCTCAGGGGTTGTGCAAAGCCACACAGTGCTGCCCCTGGAGGAGACGCTAAGCTGTGCAGGGTCCCATGACAATCACCCCAGCTGAAGTTACTTCCTGCAGTTCTCTTTTGTGTGTGCACACTGGGAATTGAACTCAGGGGAACTGAACCCTTTGCACTGAGTTCCATCCCCAGGCCTTTCCTAAATTTTGAGACAGGTGCCCCCTAAGTTGCTCAGGTTGGGCTCAACCTTGTAATCCTCCTGCTTCAGCCTGCCAGAGGGCTGGGATTGATTACAGGCATGCACCACCCCATGCCTAGCTTGTGTTTTCCCTTTCTTTATCAAAAATTGCATTCTTTGTTTCCCAAACTGTCAAGACCTTGGTGTAGTCTCTTGAGTTGGACGTGGCTTCTTTCCTAACAGGAAGACACATGATTTTCTACAACACACGATTTTAAAACATTAGTGTGAGGCAAGTGCTCTGCCACTGAGCTATGCCCCCAGCCCCCTGCTCCTGTTCTTCCTATATAATTCATGCTTGCTTTTAACAATGGTGTGAACCCGACTGCCCATCAGCCTCCCTGGGCAGCTTTTAAAAGGTTCTGGGTTTGGACCCCCCTCTACTATTAAATAGCTGTGTGACCTGAGGCAGTAATTTCACCTCTAAACTTAGCATGCTCTTAAAGTGAAGACAGTAATGCCAAGCTCCCAGGGCTCCTTACTGAAGTGAGGAAATTCGGTAGAGGACCAGCATGGTGCTTGATACATGTACCCTGAATGTTCCAGATTAAGTGCTCACAGTCACTGTTAACTATTGTGGTGCAAGAGTAATAGTGATAAAAGTCCCCCTCACCCCCACTGGTTGTCATGGAGCATGCCTGTACTTCTACCTACTAGAGAGGCTGCGGCAGGAGGATCACAAGTTTGAGGCCAGCCAGGGCAGCTTAGTGAGGTCCTATCTCAAAACAAAACTGGCTGGGTGCAGTTCAGCACTGAAGCACTTTCCTGGCATGCACAAAGTCCTATGTTCAGTCTCCAGCACTGCAAAAACTAAAAAGCCCTAACCCCCCAAGGTGGAAGGCCCCTTCCCAGCAACCCAGCCTCCATCCTGAGAAAGAGGAAGCAAGCTGGAGCCTTGATGCTGGGGCCCAAGGAACAGACAGGACTCACAGACGCAATGGGGCAGGCGCGATGTCCAGATGGGCGTGCCGGTCTCACGGCTGTAGCAGGTGAGCAGTGAGCTCCCTTCCAACACGAAGCCGGGGTTGCAGGTGTACTGGATGGTGGTTCCCACCAGCAGCACGGGGTCGGAGATTAGGCGGGTCGAGTGGTCCACCTCTCCGGGGTCGGTGCAGTACATAACTGCGGAGATGGAACCGGAGCAGGCGGCATCAGATCAGCAGTTTCCTGAATGGTCTAGAAACTGTCCTAATTTGGTTCCTTACTCTATTGGAAGTTAGTACATCTTTTGCTCAGCAAAAACAGCTGGAGAATAGGCCAGGAGGAAAGAGATCTGAGTTTCATCCCTCTTTAGGAATTTGCCTGAAAAATTTACAGGAGAGCCCAAAGACCTAGGGATAAATTTATGTCTCAACTCTTTATTCCTGATGATAAAAAGGAAGCAGTGCAAACCCTTTAAAGTTCAACACAACAAGCCCTTCCAACAAATGCTGAGCGGCCATGGCCAGGGTGAAGGGAGGGCCTTCCCTGCTCTCTCTGTAGCCTTTGGATGCAATCAAACAAGCAGCCACTGCTCTTTTAATGAACAAAATCAATACAGATAAAAGAAAAACAATAAACCAATTAAAAATGAATGAAGTGGACAATGTGATATGAAAAGATATCCATAATTCCGAGCAAAACAAAAGTTTTGAGGCAGGCTGTAAAAGTGGATCCCTTTATGGTAAAATACCTCTATCTGTAGTTTACTTTTTTCCTCCTTCCTTCCTTCCTTCCTTCCTTCCTTCCTTCCTTCCTTCCTTCCTTCCTTCCTCCCTTCTTTCCTTCCTTCCTTCCCTCGTTCCTTCCTTCCTTCCCTCCCGCTTTCCTTCCTTCCTTCCTTCCTTCCTTCCTTCCTTCCTTCCTTCCTTCCTTCCTTTCTTCCTTTCTTCCTTCCTTCCTTCCTTCCTTCCTTCCTTCCTTCCTTCCTTCCTTCCATCTCTCTATCTATCTGGGTATAGATTCATAGATATAGATATAGATAGCTATCTATTTAAATAAATATGTAATAAACAGAAATAGCTACCCAGATAGATCTCTAATAGAAACAGCAACTTTATCTAGATCTGTGTATGCCCATACATACATATATATATATACATGTATATGCCTGCATAGCATGTGATATATGTATGTGTATATACACACAATTGAAATACAGAGAAGTTTTTAACAGAGATGCCATTCCTAGAGCGTGAGGTTGTAAAGGATTTTCACTTCCTTCTTTGTAATTTTAACAACGCGTGGGTCCCCTAAGGCAGCATTTGTTGTCACTGTAATATGAAAGCGGGGTCACATGCATCTGTTAAACTCGGGGTGCTTTAACCCATGAAAGGCATTCCTAACATCTGGTGACCTGGGGGTGGGGACCCCACTGCTCCAGGAGGTTTTGCTGACCTCATTTCACCGGAAGAGAAAGCAGTTCGGGGTCTCATCCCTCTCAGGTGGAGACGTGAGGGTCTGAGCACAGGACCCATGAAATACCCCACACAGAATTCAACACTTAAAAAATTAAAAAAATTTTAAATGGGAAAAAATTTAACAATCTATTTACTCTGAGTTGACTCTTCTCGGCAAAGAGTAAGGCAAGCAAGAAAACTTTTCTATCAAGGGTTAGAGTTATGTCCCTTTCAAGCCCTCAACTATTTTTTAATTTTTTTTTTTTTTTTTTCCAGTACGGGGAATTGAACTCATGACCTTGGGCTTGCCAGGCAGGCGCTCTGCTGCTGAGCTAAATCCCCAGCCCTCCCCAACTATTTTTAATGATGATGCTATAGATTGACATGATTTGGTGATGGCTGAGCTCACTCCTCACCTTTTTATTATTCTTTATCACACACACACACACACACACACACACACACACACACACACACACAGTTGCAGAACTTCTAAGACCATTTCCGTAGTCAGCTTTGTGTATCTTTGGCAGGTTCTTCCAAGTTTCCCACAATACATTTTCTTTGACGTTGAAACATTTACAGCGGGAATTGTAGGTCATCTCCACATCCCTCCCCAGTCACTTCTTTTCCTGCCAACACTTAGTATTTCTGGTGATGCGCCTCCAGTTCAAGATGTGAGGAACATGTCCACACTTGTCGTGCAGGAGTCCCAGCAAGACAAGCGGGAACAGGGCTCAATTTCAGAGGTGGGAAGCAGGGGTCAGGGCAGGAGGCCACTTCCAAATTCAGTTCTTCCTTGCTAGTGAGACCTCAGTGTGGAAGCCAGGAGCACTTCCTTTATCTGCCTCCTTTTCAAGATGCTAGGCTCGGTCACTGCTGCTGGCCCGGCCCGCGCTCCCAGGAAGCAGGAACAGTGAGCAGGCACAGGGGTGCAGGACTCTGGGACGGAGGCTCTGAGAAATTTGGCTACATCTGATGACAGGGGCTTGGGAGTGGGGGTGGGGTCCAACTTAGACTTGGCTGTTTTGCTTGGCTACTGCAGGCACTTAAAGACCCGCAGTCTTTGATTCGTCCTTCTCACACAGGCTACACGTATTCCCATTCACCATAGTCCTGCCATTCCCTCCTGCCTGACACTCAATCTATTCTGCTCACTTGCATTACCTGCCAGGCACAGAAGCGGTGCGAGGCCGAGAAGACACTGAAAGCTACAGAATAACATTTGTGAGCGGCACAATGAGTTGGGCAGGGGGTGCGAGGAGCCAGTGCTACATTTAAACATCAGTGTCACCTCCATGCAGAAAAGATACCCATGGGAGAGACTCACCACCCACGGACAAGGGAAGGAAACAAGGTTATTCTTACTTTTTTCACAAAAGGGGGGGTCGCTGCTCCAACTGAGGTCCCACTGGCAGGTGAGGGTGTCGCTCCCCACAATGTCGTAGCCGGGGTCACACTGGTACGTGATTCTGGCTCCCCTCACCAGCTCCGTGTGAGATGTAGTTTTCCAGCCATTCTGGATCTCAGGCAAGTCTGAGCACGAGTCATTCCTTGACACCTCTTTAAAAGAAAAACATCCTCCTTAGATGAGGAGCTGGTTTTTCTGCTTGGATCCCTCTTTATGAATGTTAAGAGAAAGAACACACAGAAGAAAAAGCCTCTGGAAATAAGTAACACATTTCCAAATCCCTTTAGAACTCTTTTACAGCAAGATGTTACAGTTCCCTTTCCCCATGGGCTACTGAACTTAAGCATTCCCTTGGTTTGATAAAGCCAGCTTTGGTTTTAGAGTCAGGCAGAACCCTAGCCCGCCCACTCACTGAACCTGGAGATCATCACTTCTCTCTGGGTCTCTGGTTCATCACAATCACAAGGGCTTAATCATGACCATGCCTGCCTGTCTGCCTGGGGTAGATAGCTCGCAAGGTCTCCCCTGGGAGTCACGTGGAAATGGGCCCTCCATCCTCAGGCAAGCACTCCGAGGACCACAGTGCTCACTGCCATCTCTGCGGCACCCTCATGACAGACCACAAGGCAGATCTACCCAGCTGAGGCTGCGCCTGCATGCCCACCTGCGGAGACTGGAGATAACACATGCGCATGGCTAATTTGGGACACAGGCTATTTACATGATAGTCGACAGCTACTACACAGAGCCCCATGCTGGAATGTGTGAATCCACACACCAGGTGAATCAGGAACACCTATACTTGCGATGTATATTAAGATAAAAGCTAATCAATTAAAATAAAACCAATTATTGGTAGAGTCTGCAAATCAAATCGCGTATAATCTGTGAACGTTAACAGAAAATACTCCAGAAAACGCTCCCCAAAGCACGTCATCATTTCTATTGTCCTCCTACAAAGCCTTGCCACTAAGGCAGCAATCCAGGGCCTACTATTACTCTTCTTGCATCCAAGTGCCCACTGCATAGATTTGGAGACGAGAGCTAATTATGTCCTGTAATTAATTTGAGGCTCTTATGTGCTTCTGGGGAAAGCAAAGCGCCTCTACTGTCTGCAGGAACGTCGTCCGCAGAAGCAAGCGATGGCTTTTCCTGGGATTTCATCACGATTTTATTTGGAGAAAGAGGATCTCGTGGGTGTCTGCCAGGAGGAGCGGACAGGGAAATGGCTTCTGGAATTGCTTGGTGGGGACCGGGGCTTCTATTTTTAGGCCTTTGAAACATTAGTTAAGTCCCGGATTTGGGACACAGCTGCCAGTTCTGGAACTGTGGAGGAAAGGGGAGAGAAACGGGGTCACACAGGAGAAATGTGGCTTTCCTGGACCAGACGCTGCAAGACTGAGGAAGGCCTGCTTGTCTGACTTCCCATCGTGGCTGCCGTGCTGGGGTCTCCTGCTTCCTGGGTGACGTGGACTCAGTGTTACCTGGCCTGGTGCCGTCAGTGATTACTGCATGAGTGGCCTTGGCAAAAATAAACAATCTGCCGATTCTTCAGTACCCAGGCTGCACTACAGGCCCTGATTTGAGTCCCCATCAGCTTAAGAGGGGGTTCTGGAAGCACCTGTCCCTACAGGGCCTCATTAACTATGCTAACTGGCCCAGGAGCTGGGAGATTTCTCTTCTAGTCCACTCGCCTTAGGAAGCTGTGTGGCTCAGCCACAGCCAGCAGCTGCTCAAAGCTTCAGCATCCTCGGGTGCAGAGTAGAGTCGGGTCTTGTGGCCCTGTCTGTCCCAAAGGGCCCTGAGAGACTTAACTGACAAGTGGGACAGAACAGTGTTGGGCAAACGCTAAGATGAGTTACATGGATCTGTCTACTGGTTGGACTAAGAGTTTCTGAGCACCCTGGGAGTCATTATGGGTCTGAAGTCATGATTTCGGGCTCATCATCAAGCTGCAGGCCCAACTTCTGAGCAGCAGAAAGGCCCTCGGGCACTGAATACACACTGCTCTGCACCAGCTTTTTCTTTTTTCTTTTTTTCCCGGTACCAGGAATCGAACTCACGACCTTGCACTTGCCAGGCAGGTGCTGTGCCACTGAGCTAAATCCCCAGCCCCACACCAGCTTTCTCTATGGAGCAGATATCACTAGAATCTGACAGGAACCATCTTTAGGAATCAGAGCAACCTTTGGGTCTAGCTGAGACCTCCTAGTCCTTGGTATAGCACCCTAGGGAGCTGCTGCTATCCAGCTGGAGTTGCCTTATAAAGCGGAACATAGTTGTTATCCCACAATTAGAAAAAATAATCATATAGTAGGACCAGTCCTTCTTTGAAAAGCACTCCTTACTCATCTCTTTCTTTTCCAGTCCCTTTCCTATTCCTATTCATGTGGGCACAGACAATGGGCCAGGCACAAGGCTGAGTGAGGAGGATAGATATTTGTATCTCTGAATAAAGCTTAACCTGGGGATCAGAATCATATAGGCTCAGAGATGGACTTAAGTCCTCTGGTCAGTCTAGGCACTTCAGAAGTCTTCTGAGGGCCCCAGAACCCCCTGACCCTGCCACCTGATTCCTTCACTGAACAAGAGTTGCATCTAGGTCTGGTAAAATCTAGACTGAGGGTAGCAAATGTCTCTCTCATGACCATGACAGACATCACTAATCTATCACAGCATCCTTCTCCAACAACATCAGGCATAATCTCTGCTGAGTGATTTTCAACATAGTCTTGAACATATATAGACATAAACAATTGATTGGCATCAAAATGAAAGGTAGAGCCAGGTGCAGTGGTGCATGCCTATAATCCCAGCTACTTAGGAGGCTGAGATATGAGGATCACAAGTTTGAGGCCAGTTTGGGCAACTTAGTAAGATCCTATCTCAAATAAAATATAAAAAGAGCCTGAGAGTGTAGCTTAGTGGCAGAGTGCTTGCCTGGCACACAAGACTCTGAGTTCCATCTCCTCTCTCTCTTTCTCTCTCTCTCTCTCTCTCTCTCTCTCTGTCTCTCTCTGTCTCTGTCTCTGTCTCTGTCTGTCTGTCTGTCTCTCTCTCTCTCACACACACACACACACACACAAATGTGCATGCACTCACACACATTGTGGTGGGTTGACAACTGGTGGTCACTTGTAACACCCAGCTGAGCTGAACCAGCGTGGTGCTGGATGTGGGAGGCCCACCTGAGGACTGTTGCCAGCAGACCAGAAAGGAGAACTGGAGAAGAGGTACTGTTAGGGAGCTGTTGGTTCCCCTGGAGGAGCTTGTCATGCTGGCCTTCCTGATATGATTGTGGTTGTTCTCATCATTGAAGGAGCTCAGGACCTTGTCACTGAGAATGGCTATGGTTCACTTTGGGGGAGCTCTGGTGCTTACTTTGAACATGGTTTCCTGGCTTTGAAGGAGAAGATGGTGTACTGTTCAGTGTCCTGGAGAAGCTTGTTGCTTTGGCTTTCCTGATATAGACTCAGATGTTCTCATCATTGGAGGAGCTCAGGACCTCATTGTCACTGAGGTTGACTGTGGTACCTTTTAGGAGAGCTCTGGTTTTTACTTTGAGCATCGCTTCCTGGCTCCAGTGCAGATCCCTCAGTCTGCTAGCACAGATCCTTCATCCTGCTGGCACAGACTTTCTAGATTCTACCACAGACCTTTGGACCTTCCTAGTGCAGATCCATGAAACAGGCCTGCATGAGACATTGTTGTGGGTTCTAGATCTTCAGTTGGACTCCTGAAGGACCTTACTGTGGGATCCAGGCCCTCAACTGTATTCTTTGGGTCTTTAATGTGTGGACAGATCTCTTGCACTCTCTTTATATATGACTCTTTGGGTGAATATTATAAAACAATCTTATAAATTATGTGTCCCGTATTGTTTCCCTTGTAAACACTGACTATAACACACACACACACACACACACACGCACGCACACACACATACAAATTCATTACCATCCCTGTGAAATGAACTGTATAAATCTTTTTTTTTGAGACGCAGTCTTGCTAGTAGCCCAGGCTGGCTTCATACTCATAATGATCCTCCTACTTCAGCCTTCCAACTTCTGGGACTACAGGTGTGCACCACCATGCCTGGCATCTTTAGCAGAAATAAGAAATGAAGCTTCTCTGCCTCCTCCTCTCCCCTATCCCTTGGCTACTTGCATCCATCTGGTTGTGCAGTCCCGGGAAGCATTCTCTGCAGTCCCAGAGGGTCTTTTCCACAACACCGTCATGGGCCCCTGCCACTGGCTGTGGACAGGATGATCTCTGCTATTCTCCCTAGCTCCTCAAGGGCAGGAGAGGGGTCTACTCATTCCCAGATCCTGGGGTCCAGTGCAGAGCCTAGTATAAGGGAGACGTCAAGAGATTTTTTTAGCCAAACTCTTGGGAAGATAGAGAAAATGCATTTGAAAATAAAGTTGTGTGTGTGTGTGTGTGTGTGTGCATATGTGCATGTGTGCACACGTCCGTGTGTTTGTGTGTGTGCATGCATTTGGCAACTGTATAGTGTCATACTCAAGTTCAATTAACAAGCGCTCTTCAGGATGTTGCCAGAGTGTGGCTACACTCTCCGGGTCACCTTGATCAGCCTTGGACAGTCAGGTGTTTGCCACGCAGCTGAACACAATTCTGCAGCACTCACTCGGGCCCCAGAGATGCCTAAGCCAAAGTATGACCTCATCTTTCAGCTGCGGAAGGGAAAGCCTCAGAGGACCGACCGAAGCCATGCCACGGGACACAGTAAGCTGAGCCTGCTGCCAAGGCAGCGAATGGGAGGGGCCCTCACCCCAACAGCCCATGTGAGCCATCGCCTGATGAGCCCAGGGCTGGAATGCACAGAGCAGCTGCAATCACACTCTGCAAATATTTAGCAGCACAATCAAGGGTAAAAAGGCCCCTGAGAAACATAACAAAGAGGATCAATACTTGGGTTAGCCTCTTTAAGAGGTGGACGTGTAGCTGGCAAGGATGAAAAATGCTCATCAGCAGGGAATAGAAAGAGCAAGTGCCTTATTTTAACATGCAGAGGCTCCCTGGGCCAGCCAATGGCCAGGGGAGGGTTTGCATTGTAGATGCAAGGAAAGGCGGCGGAGGGCAGTTTGTGTGAGATGGCTATGGACAGTGCTGCAAGCCAAGGGAAAGAAAGAACCAAAGCATGGACGCTTGTGCAGGCACAGGGCCTTTGGTGATGGGGGCTCGGCTCCACCCTGGGCACTGAGGTCTGTCCCGGTCCTGGAGAGCAAGCACATGCCTTAACAGGTGGCTGAGCCCCTCCTGCGTGGACTCCAGGGTGGAACCGCCCACCATTCTGGACATCAAAAGAAGTCAGGTCCTCGTCACCCCTTGTGTCTCCTGGATTCTCTGTTGCTGCCACCAAAAGATGGGGTTGGAGCAGCTACTAGAGCTGGGGATGAGGAAGCCTGGGTGTGGACCTCAGCTCTGCCCCTTAGAGCAAGTCCTTTTCCTCCTGGGCCCAGGGCTGCTTCTCCAGTGAAACCGCAAGAGTGGACCCGATGTTCTGTTAGGCAGGCATCCAAGTCTCTTCCACGGCTGGGCTCCACGGGACGTCACGGTGTCCCAGTTTCCTGATTGCTGGGAACACGGTGGCAGCGTGGGCTAGGGTGGTGACTGTGGGCAGGTGCAGGGTGGTGCTTGGAGCTGAGACACTGTGGAAGTGGGCTCCACAGGCTGGGCAGACATGGGGCAAGGCAAGAGGAGTCAGCCCGAGCAGCCAGGGAAGCCACGGCCCCACTGCAGGGACTGAGCAAGTTCCTGGCAGTGTCTGGGAGGCAGGGAAGCAGGGAGAGGAGTCATCCTGCTTGACTGTGCTGCGCTGACATGCTCATGAGGACGTGGAGGTCGTGGAAGCAGGGAGAGAAGAGGACAGATCCGGGGTGGAGCTCAGGGTTGGGGGACGGGGGGGGGCACCAATGGCTGAGAGACAGTCACAGGAGAGGAGGCTGCGGAGAGAGGAGTCTGGGCTGGGGTCCCCCAGGGGCCAGTTTGAACTTGGCCTGAATGATTTGAGAAGATAAATCATTGCCTGCTTGCTTGGTTTTAAGATGAGCAGGTGAGAAACAGTTTGGCAGCCACAGTACGGGTCCAGGAAGACCTCTTGACCTCACGCCTACGTAGGAAAGAAAGAGCGGTGCCCCTGTGGGGGCGGGGAGGAGTCCTCAGGGGGAGCTGAACATCCGCCCAGGCAAAAAGGTGCAGATAATGCTTTGTGAAGCTGCCGCTATGTGGGGGAGGGTGCTGACACTGCAAAATCTCAGCTGATTACCATGGAAACACTGAATCTTCGTGTCAGGGGGCATGACCTACTCAATCCGGGTGTGCACCTTGTGGAAGAGGCATTGCCTTTGGACTCCCTTTTACAGACTGCGAAGGTCACATACCCACTGATGCTGGCACTAGGACTCGAACCTTTGTCCTCCTGTCTGGAGAGCCTGGTCTCTTAAAAACTATGTGTATTAACTGGGCTAATACATTAACAGACCTGTGTGACACAAAACCTTCAACACACAGAGCCGGAGGAAGCCACTGTATGCCACACCTTAACACAAAGAACACACTCGGCGGGGGAGACACTCACCTATGTAGTTCATGATGAATCCCTGGCCCTTCCCGAAGATGAGGCCGGCAGGGTCGGAGTGGAACTGGATGGTCAGGTCTGGCGTGGAGGAGTACAGCTTCTGCGGGCTGCTGCTGCCCAGGTACTGGCCCAGGATGTGGGGCACGACCTCGTCGCCATCATAGATGGTCAGGATGTCGCTGTTGCTGAGGTTTAGGCTGAGGGGACAGAGAAGAGGGGATGCAGTCACATGATGGGCAGGCCTCTGAGTGACTCTGTCAGGAAGCGCGGGAATCCTTTGGCCCTGGGCTACTGAGCAGGAGAGGTAGGCACAGCTGTGGGCAGGACCAGGACATGTGCCACTCCCGCCAACACAGAGCCCAGGTCCTAGTGGACAGGAGTCTGAGACCCTGTCAGGAGATGCCCGCCTATACCATCCTGTTACCAACAACCATTTCTGGGGTGACAGTGAGGCCTCCCATGTGTAGGGTGTGGGGTGCTGTGCTGGGGTATGGCATGCACCTTTCTGCCCTGATTCAGAAGAGGCTGGGAGCTTGCTGATCGTGGTGTTCCCTTTCACGCAAGGAGAAGGAAGCTTTCCATTTCTCCTGTGGCAAACGCCCAGAATCAACCAAGTTATCTGCCATGTCTGAGCGGTGTGTTCAGGGCGGGGTGGGCACCTGGCTCGTGAATGCGCTGCTGTCACCCTCTGTAGCCTGAAGGGATGATGCCAGTGCAGGAAAATGCCTCGACCCTAAATATATGGCCACAGTGCGTAGGTGACAACCCTGCCAAAGGCCACAGGAGCACTCCTCTGATGGAGAGGGCGCCGGCAGTTCAGCTGTCCTTGCACCAGCTGCAGTCACGAACTCATGTTCCTTTCTCCTCCCTCTTCCTGTCCTCTCCGTTTTCTGTCTCTCTTACCTCTTCTCTTCTCACCCCTCCCCCTAACACTTTCTGAGCTCCTACTCTGTGTCACGCACTCTGCTGCCCAAGGAGGGGTCACAGAACAGAGACGGATTTGAACTCATGTGCCAGGTGCTTGGGCAGGAGTTCCGATCCATGTGGATGCGGAAAGAACAGCGTCTGATTTGGATCAGGGCATCATGGAGGTCTCCCTGGAGGAGGTGGTGCTTGCCGCAAAGCCTCAGGAAATAACAAAGGACCTTGAAGCGGACAAACAGTAGGTAGGGAGAAGGCTGAGCCCAAGGCAGAGGGGGGAGTGCTCAGTTCCTGAAGGACCTTTCCCAGGTCCTGGTATTGGGTTACGGATGGGTATCCCGCAGTGGGGCCCAGATACGGAGTGACTTAAAGATCTGGGCTGTGGGGCCCTAAGTCATCTTGCTACAGATGGGGGACCCTGGAGGGTGTTAGGCAGGAGCAGCCTGTCTGAGCACTTCCCTACCAGAGGAGGGGCGGTCTAGGAAGTGGCCTGAGTGAAGATCCCAGAACTCACGGATCAGATGAGACCTCTCCTTCATGGCAGCACTTGCCTCCACGGCCAGCGTGGCGCCCACCTGTGCTGGCAACTCAGATGCTCAGAGCTGAGCAGCAGGAGCCTGGGGCCTGGTGCGGCTTTAATCGTGCTGCGGCAGACATTGTTTCTTGCCCCAATCCCTTCCCCAGCACCTCTCGTGGTGCCTCAGGCTTAGGTGCCCCGGAGAGTCTCCATCACTTTTTCTGCAGCACCCCAACCAGCTTCTCCTACTCACAGCTGTCTGCTTGCTTTGCATCCATTCCCTCGAGACTCTGCCCTGAGACGACTCCTGTCACCTGCTGGTTTTCAGCGAGACTGAAATTCTGGAGCTGACGCCTTCCCTTGCACACAGAAGGTGCTCAGTAAATGCTTTGGTTGGCACACGCCTGCTGGAGTCTATATGGCAGCAGAAGCAGTGGGACGATGTCAACTCTCACCTTCCGGTAGGGCCGGGCTTCTTAGCTCCAGGAACACAAGCACATCCGTCCGCTCCCCAAAGTGCTGGATCGGGCAGTGTGAACTTGGAGGACAGCAGATGCTTATCCTCAGAGCGACTTCACAGCCCATCTGCGGCTCACAGGTCTTCCGGCTGCGGCCTTTCTTCTCTAACGCGGTTCAACAATCTCAGCGCAGCCGCAGCACCTTCGAAGGCTTACAGGGGCTTTCATTTAAATCCCTCCCAAGGCACTTTGTTCCCCATAGAGGAGGAAGGAGTGGGTGCTGAAGGAGCCCATGAGGGGCCTGGGAATCAGGAGGCCTCCGTGCGCTTCCCAGCTTCGTCCCTTCGATACAGGCGTGCGGTTTTCTGAAGTTCCTTGCCTGGGAATCGGTTTTGCTCTTTGGAGTCAGTGCCACGGGCTTTGGGAGTGAGGTTGGGCTCACAGAAGGCCAGGGATCAAACTCTAGGGTCACAGGCAGCACCGGATCACTGCTGGTGAAGTTGGTCGAACGTTGTGTTCTTCTGCTCTGATTTCGTTACGGGCGTCAGTGCTGCCACTGCCATCGTCATCATCACGGCCACCGCCCTCGCCTCATCAGCTCCTCTAGATTTCCCTTTATGTCAGATGTTGTTAGATAACTTTCACCAGCGTTTGGAGAGGAGGGCTGTTGTGTCCCCTGGAGCACTTGCCAGTGTCCCAGTGTGCCCCGGAGACACAGCTTTCCTAACTGGACGGTACCAGAGGTGAGCAGAGGCCCAAGGTACTGTTAAAGATCCTTTAGTGTACATAGCCCCCGGCAGTGAAGAAAGATCTGGTCCAAAATATCAGCAGTGCTCGGGGTGAGGACCCCTGACTTCCTCGGACTTGCTTTGTAAACAGCAAGCAGAAAATGATTACATGTGGCTTCTCTGGGGTCCTGAAATTCAGCGGAGGTCCCCAAGCTGAGAGCAAGATGACAGGTGCTGAGCATTTCTACTGCTAAAGAGAGATGCCCAGTTGCTGACTGGGGTGTCTGGAAGCCAAGCCCAGGCAGAGGCCAGCGTCGCTTGGAGCGTGGCTCATCCGGGAGGCCATTCCCGCAGGCATGCAGCATCAGTGTGGATGAGACAGGATGGGGCCGCTGCACTGGATAGAGCTGGGCAGGCTCCATCGTGCACACTGGGCTGCATCCCACAGGGAGTCTGAGAGACGGGGTAGGACATCCGAGGTGGGAGAGGGCACTGGGGCACTTGTTCTCTAGCTCCTGACACCACTGGCTGAGGGTTGCTCCCAAGTGCAGTGAGCCCACAGGACCGTGCATCCCCTGTACAGCACCAGAGAAAGCCTGTACACGGAGAGGTGCCCGGGGGCTGGCAGAGTGGTCATAATGAGCACATGGGCCATGGGCACTGAAATGCAGCAATGAGCCCTCCCCTATCTCCTGCTCACATAGGGGAAATCAGAGAATTCACTGAGCCTGAGGAGGAGTAGCAAAACGAAATTAGGGGAGTGCCGGGAGGGAGCTGCCTGTCACCGGGAGGGGGGGATAAGATCACTATCAGTTTTGATTGGACTTTAGATAGCACATCACTGCCTTCCTAACTCTACTCTTGCCTGACTACAATTCTATCTCCCTTCAGTTGCCAGCTGGGTCCTTCCAGGACATAATTCTAGCTCCTTCACTCAAGAGACCAGCAGAGAAACAAGTTGTGGTATATCCATTCAGTGAAATATTATACAGCCCAGTAATCATAGCTGCATAAGTCTCATGCTTCCCAGGTCTCACTGTGGCAGGTAGCAGCCAACTACAAATCCTCATAACAGTGTCCTTACCCCCTAAAGAATGACAGGACCCAGGTAAAGCAAGAAAGTCAGGATAGATAAATCAGGAGGCTGGGTCCCAATTGAGTATCCAAGAAAAGAGAAAAAGCACCAGCATCCTACATCTTCCAAAGCTCAAATAGTGTTATCAAGTGAATCTTCCTTTACCCTGGGAGCAACAAGCACCCCCAGGCCTTTCCTCACCGCAGATTCTGACCACAGACCCTGCTGAGTGAGGGGTGAAGTTTCAAAAGGAGTCATTCTCAGTGCTGCATTATTAGGCTGAACTGCACTTACTGTGACCAAGACACTTAGAAAAACACAGCTCACACCCCGAGAAACGAACTGATGGGAAAGGCGCGTGAAGAGGCAGAGGAAGAGGGAGCCCGGTGGCTCTCTGCTGCTGCCTCCTGACCCTGCCTTTTTCCTAGACTGGTTCTAATGCTATAGCCAGGCACTGGGAATCGAGGCCCCCACCCCAGTCAAGACAAGCATGGGGCCTCCCAGTGTCACCCAAATACTGCAGACACCTGGGATCCCGGCACTGGGCCACGTAAGCAGTGGAGATGGACATGCGCAGAGTTTCCTGCAGGGTGGCTGGCACCAGGCACCGTGGGGCTTCTGGTGTGGTCTGGATGGAGATGCTAGCCCAACACAGGGAAGGAGGCACTGACAGCCCAGCCAGGGCTCGATGCCAGGACACAAGGCATGGAGAGGCACTGGTAGGCAGGTGGGTGGGACAGGCCTGGTATAGCAGGAGCCCCCGGGAGCACTGCAAAGGCCACAGCCTCCCACGGCAGCCCTTGTGTACCTCAGCCCTCTCAGCTGCCAGAGCAACAGACTTTCCGAAGCACAAGATCTGAGCTCTCATCAAAGACATCTGCTTCTGTGTCTCCATCTGCTGTCCATCCCTCCTCAGCCATGGGGTGGGCTTTGCTAAGATCACTATCATCTTCTACCTGGACGGCTGGACAATGTGTAACTGCCTTCCTGACTTCATTTTTGCCTGGCTGCAATCCTTTCTCCCATTAGCTGTCAGCTGAATCCTTCCAGAACATAATTCTGGCCCTTTAATTCAATAGACAAACAAACTGTGGTATATCCAGTCAATGGAATACTATACAGCCATAAAAGGAATGGGGCACTGACACTGGTATGCAAATGTTCTTAGCAGTATTATTCTTTATAGCCCCAAAGTGGAAACAACCAAAACAGTCACTGATTGATGAATGGATAAAAAGATATGGTCCCCCCACACAATGGAATACTAGTCAGCCTTAAAAAGGAATGAAAACACTGAGACTTAGTACAACAGAGATGAATCTTGAAAACATTATTCTAGGTGAAAGAAGTAAGTGAGAAGAAGCCAATCTTCCAATAGGAGGATTCCACTTAGAAATACCCAGAATAGGTAAATCCATAGAGAGAGAGAAACACCTGGATGATTGCCAGGCCAGAGGCTAGAAAGGGAAGCAAGGTTGATGAGCATGTTTGAAACTGG